CTACATAGAATAGAATATAAAGATGTAATACTATTGGATGATTTCAGGATCATAATAAATGCCATAATATAAATTTATCTTAAATTTAGAATATTTTACATTAAAAGGATGTAATAATAGCTATAGTCAAAGGAATGTTTAATAACCATAACAATTCTATACATATATATTAGAATGATGATGAGTCTTTCTGTAAATTGCAAGTGAAGACTATTGTGAGAAAGCACAAAAGTTTTGTAACCAATCGACACACTGTAAGTAATTGGAGAAGGATTTTTATTTTGTGTGTGTTTATGTCTGTATGTTTTATGTTTGTCTAAAAATAAAAACTTTTTATAAAAAAAATATCACTGTAACATGGTGAAAAATATGGAATTTTTAAAGGAAGATTTGCCCTGCAGCAATATTTATATGTGATTTTGAAATACGGGCTTTATTCTCTAAACAAATTACTTTCAAACCTAACCTCTGTTTAAGATTGTGAACATTTACATTAGTTCTCTTGTTTAGCATGGAATCTCCTCATTTATCATAGTACAAAAAATATTTTGATTAATTACATAAACTGATATAACAGGCTACGAATGCAGAAAGTACTTTCCCACCCCAAGGAACACTGAAATGAAAATATTAGAATCCTCTCCCTCATTTTCAACTTGCCAAAAAATTATATCACAATAAAACAGTGGTTATTCTCACTGTAGGCTTACCAGCAGTGGTGGGATTCAAATAATTTAACAACCCATTCTCTGCCCTAATGACCAACTGGGTAGGTGGGGCTCGGTGGTCATGTGACTGGGTGGGCATGGCCAACTCAATGTCACTCGTGTCGATGGGCGCTTCATCTTAGCTGTTACAATGTAATAAGGGTTATCGGAGAGGCAGTTTCTGTAAGCAGGGAAATAAAGATCAGGCTAGAAGCAACACCAGAATGTTTCATTCCTGCCTTCCTTACAGGATTAGCCATGTAAAGTGGAAAAAACCCAAAATGAGATATCTTCCTACAACCAGTTCTCCAAACTGCTTAGAAAGTTAACAACCGATTCTCCCAAATAGGTGCAAACTGCTGAATCTCACCATTGCTTACCAGACATCTGGCAAAAGGAGGGTCTTTTTGCCCTCGTCCTCCATTCAGCAGTCATAGTATTTTACAGCTTTTGGACTGTTTTCACAATAGTAGTTATTCAAACTTTCATGTATCACAAACTTGTAAATTGTATGCCTCATTTTTCCCATCATCTGTAGGCAGATTCAGCAGCCTAGATTTGTGGTATTTATTTTACTTCCTGATTCCATCAGTCAGTTTCGTTCCAACTCCTTCAATTCAATCTCTGTAGTCTGTAGATCACATGATTCATTCTATGTTTCAATGGTAAAATTTTAAGAGTGCATTGTTGTTCACTCTACATTGTCACCAGAATATGCTCTTGAAAATAAAGGCTTGTTGGAAAAATATTGCAATTGAACAACCAGTCTTTCTGATGCTGAAAAAAGTAATTTTCACATATATGTAGGCCCAAGTATATTTTTTGCAGTTTTCCATTGTAATTTTTGTTGCAGACACCAGGAAAGTTAAACAGATAGCGCGCCCTTGTGTTCCCCATCATTTGTTCTTCTTTCTAATTGTCCATGTCTTCTGTTGCTTGTTCAGATACCTGGTTACCCTATCCCAATAGTAAACCACTATCTTGCCTCTCCTGCCTCTGTTTCAAGTGATTGTGTTATCTGATTTCCCCAAAAGATAGTAGAAAACTTAATAGATTTCTACACTTTCAGCCTGCCCTTGGATGGTGCTGTCATAAGAACACACAGTAAATAATGGCTTAAGCTTGTCTTAGTCATAAGGTTAAGATGAAGACAATATTAAAGGGGTACGACAGAAAAATAACACTGCCAAGACATGTTTACAAGTGGAGAAAGATACTGCAACTAATGGAAAATCTGCCATTTTTACAGAGGAATTTCCCTTTAGAAATCCCAGCAAATTCCTCAACTGGCATTGTCCATCATTTATGGGGTAACATCATTTTCTCTTACACTACAGATGTCAGGAACAAGCTAAATGCAATCTTATTTACAGCACATATTCAAACATATTTTAGTCACAGCCCATGTTTCAATATGTTTGAATGAAAAAGCAGATTCCTAATCTGGTATATGTTAAGTCTGGATTCTAAACTTCCCTCTCCATAACCACAAACAGTAGCTTCAGGAAAAATAACACTGGGGAAATGTTTCCTCTAAAGTTAAAAATGATGCAGCCCCATCCCAAATTAAGAGCAAGTTTTAGAATAAGATTGTCATAATTAAGTAAGCATAATTATTTCTGCAAAGTAAAAAAAAAATCACAGAAGTAAGCATTGTTTTACTAAACACACAGTACCATATATATTATACTACATTAAAGCATGATTTATTTTAAACTTGCTTTGTTGGTTTAAACAATGGCCAAATTCAAAAACAATACTATACCATAATACATAAATCACAGCAGTTGAGTGTATGCAATACATTAAACCAGACCAAACCATATTAGCACAATACATAAAATCAGTCATTTTTCATTCACACATATAAATACAGAGAATGCTTTCCACAGTGTCTGGCATTTGTTCAGTTTGGCCTTAGTTCATAGAATGATTTTAGCCCCCCATGGCTGACAGCAGAGTATTTCCCATCGTTCTGCAGAGCTATAGCAACTGGATCCCAATTACCCCCTTCCTCCAGAGACAACAGGAGGAAAGGGAAAGGTATCCCCTATATTTTCTAGTTGCTGAATAATGTCCAGTATCCTACTGTAGTCCATCAGAAGTAACAGCTTTTCATCACTTATTGGCAAAGGTTAAAATCAGCTTCAAGTGAAGAATCTGTGGCCTTCTGGGTGTTGCTAAAACTCTTGAGCAGACTCAACCAGCATGATCAATAAGGGAAGATAGGAGTTATAGTTGAGCAACATTTACACACATCTATTCTATATACATATATACATACATACTATACATACACACATACATACAAATATTATCAATTAGCCCTGTACATATAAACCTTCTGAACTGGAGCAACTTTTATGACTGTGAAAGATCTAAGGAAAGTGAATTCTGGGCAATAAGCAATCCTTAAAGGCAGGTTGTATTTTTATCTTGTACTTATTTAGCAATAAGTATGAATGAATTGAAATGGAAATGGGCTGGTCACACATAGCAAGAAGAACTGAAGGCAGGTGGACCAAGGCAGCCATAGAATGGATCCCACTTCAAAACTGGGGAAGTCTCTCCAAGAATAGAGTAGAGTAGGGTAAGGTAGGGTAGGGTAGAGTAGAGTAGAGTAGAGTAGAGTAGAGTAGAGTAGAGTAGAGCAAAGAGTTGGAAGGGCCCTTGGAGGTCTTCTAGTGCTAGTCTAACCCTATATCATTTAGGCAGGAAACCCTGTATAATTTCAGGCAAATGGTTATCCAATCTCTTCTTTAAAATTTCCAGTGTTGGAGCATTCACAACTTCTGGAGGCAAGTCAGTGGTGGGTTTCAAATATTTTTAGAACCTCTTCTGTAGGTGTGGCCTGCTTTGTGGGAGTGGCTTCCTGGCCACGTGACCTGGTGGGAGTGGCTTAACAGTCATGTGACTGGGTGGGTGTGGCCAACTTGTAAAATGTGGTGAAACTCACTTAACAACGCTCTTGCTTAGCAACCAAAATGTTGGCTCAGAAACTCTGGCATTTGAAGCACGGGAGTCTTAAAGCTGTCAAGTTACAAGACCCTTGCACCCCTAATCCTTTAGGGAAAAAAACCCCAGGGATGTTCAAACTTGACAGCTTTAAGACTTGTGGACTTCAACTCCCAGAATTCCTCCTCTCGCTCTTCATCTTGATGATGTGCAGACGGGCAAGGGGAGGGAGCTGGAACTGTAGATTTGTGGAACTTCTTCTATAGAAGAGGTTAGAGCTGGCAGGAACCCACCCCTGAGGCAAGTTGTTCCACTGATTGACTGTTCTGTCAGGAAATTCCTCCTTAGTTCTAGATTGCTTCTCTCCTTGATTAGTTTCCATCCATTGCTTCTTGTCCTGCCATTAGATGCTTTGGAGCAGTGTTTCCCAACCTTGGCAACTCGAAGATGTCTGGACTTCAACTCCCAGAATTCCCCAGCCAGCATTCGCTGGCTGGGGAATTCTGGGAGTTGAAGTCCGGACATCTTCAAGTTGCCAAGGTTGAGAAACACTGCTTTGGAGAAGAGCTGGACTCCCTCTTTTCTTTGTGGCAGACCACTTGATCCAAACCATCCACGAAAGAGCCCTAAAACAAGATGTAAGACGGATCACTGCGGGCTCAGTTGGCAAAGGAAAACTCAGGACCGCATTGGTTGGGAACTTGCGGAAGAGGCCTTTATCCTGCAGCGGGTAGACAATGGCTAGAACGATGATGGTTGAAGATGGAGTATCAACGAGGTCGGTGAGGTTCATTTCTGAATAGACCCCCAATAGGTTTGCATAGCTCCGCTGCAACCTTGCCTATGCATATTTGGGCATAAGTTCTTTCCAGTGGAGACAAGCGCGAGTGAGCGGGCATTCCCGCAAACTGCAGCCTCCCTTGTTGCAATGAAACCGGGGCAACCGCATCTACTCTCCACCGGTTCCACGTCGGGCCAGGGTAAAGGGCGGAAACCACCCGCCCCCCCCCCTCCCTGCGCAGTAGCAGCCTCCAGAAGCCACGTGCGGCTCAGCGTCGAAGTAGGGAGTGGCCCGGAGGTGGCGGCCGGCAGAGGAGGCGGGAGGCGGAGAGAGGAGGGACCGGGCGGGGGACCGCGGCCTCGAGTCACACCGCTCTCCGCGCACAGCTCTCCGCGGAGCATCAGCCGGACGCCGCATTGGGCTGCTATGGAGGGCGCCGGAGCCCGCCTCGGCTTCCAATACCGTCGCTGCCCGTGATTGTTTCCCCCCTTTCCCCTCCTAGCGCGCGCGCGCGCGGGGCGCTCTTTTCAGCGAGGTGAGTGGAGGGAAGGTGGGTGGGTGGGAGATGGAGAGAGCCCCTTGTCCGCGGCCCCTTTGGCGACTCGGGAGCCGGGACGCGGCAACTCCGGATGGGGGGACCTTGGAAGGGGCGGGGGAGCGGGAGAGGAGGCTCTCCTCGGAAATCAATTGGGGCGGGGGGGGGAAGTTATTAATCAGTGTCTCGCGCTGAGAAAACATCTCAATGCCCCCCGCATTCGGGGTCTTTTATGCATGCCATCCTGAGCCCCCCCCCTTTTCTTCAAACAGTGAAGGACATTTATTTTTCTTTGGCTTTTGGCTGCTTGCTTTTCCTCTCTTTCTCAAGGCGGCGGCGGGGAGGTGGCCGGCCGGAGGAAACCTGTCTCCTCTGGGCAGCCTTTGCCCCCCCCCTCCCATCCTCAACCTTGGCTGTTCTTGGGAGTCGGGAAAGCCCCCCCCCCCTTCATCGCCTCGAGCCGTGCCGCTCGTCTCCCCTCCTGACGTGCAATACCAGCGGGCCCGTTAGTTTCTCCCAGGAGAAATGCATCTCTCCGCTTGTGCGTTGTGGCTCCGTTTGGGCGGACTCCGTGGCTCCCCGGAGGAAAACTTTCAACGACGACCAGTTAACTTTTTCCCCCCCTAGGCTCCGCTTTCAGCGAGGGAAGGAAACGGCGGAGGGAGGGAGGGAGGAGGAGGACGAGGGTGGCGGCCACCTCTTTGGCTGAGGCCCGCGCGGAGGGACGTTTCCCGCCGCTGCCGACGAGCGTCTTCACAGGCAGAAACGACGGAGGCAAAAGCCGAAAAGTGGCGGTTTCTACCGCGCAAGTAGCTTGAAGGGGATAGGAAGGAGTGGAAAAGTTGCAATGCCTAGCTTCAGTTTCGGGCGGGCTGATTTATACTCGGCTCAATATGACGCCTTCCTAATCTCGCTTCTATACCTCTGGCTGAGGATGATGGGAGAGGTACTCCAACGTCTGAGAATGTCAGATGGGTTACACAGGATCTAAGAGAGCTATGAGTAAGGCACTCTTGATGTATTCCACCCACATCTCTTCCTGGGAAATACAGGAGATCTGTTAAAGATGAGTATCTGTTAAAAGATGAAAATAGACATGCTCCCAACTCATGTTGAATAGTTATTGTCATTCATGGGAAAAGGGGGAAAATGGAATTATTAGGGCAATGTTAAATAGCTCTCACATTTCCAGCGACTATAAAGATAAAGGTTCCCCTCACACATATGTGCTTCCGACTCTAGGGGGCAGTGCTCATTTCCGTTTCAAAGCTAAAGAGCCAGCGCTGTCCGAAGACGTCTCCATGGTCATGTGGCCGGCATGACTAAAGGCGCACAGAACGCTGTTACCTTCCCACCAAAGGTGGTTCCTATTTTTCTACCTGCGTTTTTACATGCTTTCGAAGTGCTAGGTTGGCAGAAGCTGGGACAACTAACGGGAGCTCACTCCATTATGTGGTGCTAGGGATTCGAACCACCAAACTGCCGACTTTTCTGACAGACAAGCTCAGCATCTTAGCCACTGAGCCACTGCATCCCTCACTACAGCGACTGCAGTGAGGCAGAAATAGGGAAATATTAACTTGACAGTGGAAAACCTTTGGATTCTATTTTTCCTCATCCTCAGCTAATGTTTGGGGTTTATGGGAATTTAAGTCCAGTAACATCGCAGAGGCCTTACATGCTTCTTGCTTCTCCCAAGGATATAGTGGAAATTATGATAAAGTGGGACTTTATCATAAGTGGTGGAAAATTTACTGTACAACTGACCTGCCTTCTTCATTTAAAATTCTAATCTTACAGTTATCTGGTAATAAGACTAATTAAGTATCTATTTTGAAGATGCATACAAAGGATTGTGCTTTTGGAACACATTTCATTTGCAGTCTTTTAACTGTTGCTTACAGACTAAGATAACCGCATCTAAAGAGATATGCCATCACTTTATTTATGCGGTTTCCTAATTTGTGAGAAATAACAAACCCTAATGAATAGATGGATGTGACTGACAGAATGAAAAGCCTTGAGGTAACTTAAGTCTGATTGTTTTCCTTTCACTTAAAAATAGTTTCTTGAGTTGTGTAATGGAGTTTTGTTTTTATTCCTGTTGATATGAGATGGGTGTTGGCTGCCACTTTTCTTGATCGTTTGTAATTCCATTAAGGAAACTGAGTGTACCGTAAAAGCTCCAATGCTAATGGTTTATTCCCTTTGGAAGAAGGCAAGCTTACTTCATGTTGTAAAACAGAAGATTCTGAATTTTCAATTTAGGACTGCCTATATGTTTTTTGATAGGCTTATTGGTTGGTTGCAGTTTTTATAACTCACTGGAACGCAATAGAAAAGGGCAGCATTGTACGGATACTTTTACCTGTTTTGGGAGGATAGTGAGGAACTCACTGGAGAAGAGCCTAATGCTGGGAACGATTGAGGGCAAAAGAAGAAGGGGACGACAGAGAATGAGGTGGCTGGATGGAGTCACCGAAGCAGTAGGCGTGAGCTTAAATGGAGTCCCGGGGGATGATAGAGGACAGGAAGGCCTGGAGGAGTGTTGTCCATGGGGTTGTGATGGGCTGGATGTGACTTTGTAATTAACAACAACAACGTGAAGACATTTGGATTTTTTTTTTCAAATTGTTACAAAGGAAAAAACTGGTGGGATGTTCCTCCAGGGAGCTGGTATGACCACCAAATAACTCCCTGGATGAACACAGCCCATCGCAATTATCAGTTTTTCCCCCTTATTCTGTATGGATCTGCCTGATTGTAAGATTCAGAGTTGGAGGAACAGGGACTGCTGAGTTTTCACCTTGCAGCTCAGGAGCCAGTAGAGTCCCAGATGAAGTTCAGGAAGAAGAGCCTTTTGAAGGATGAGCCTGAAATTCTGGAACAGCCAAGTAACCCACCCCCCACCCCCCACTTGCAGAAGCACAGCGGTCGACTGAGTCACCTGAAGTGGACCCTGAACTCAAAAAGATTCCCACACATGTAGAAAGGTCAGGTGAGTGCAGCCACTCCTCATTTAGCAGCAAGTATTCGCAAATATGATGGTAATAAGGAAAGAAAATCCATTCTGACCAATGCATTCATTTAGGGCCAAATTTTGTTGGGCTTGACAACAAAAGCCTTCAGTATAAAACTGATTCAGGCTGCAGCACCAGCCACGAGAGGGTTCTACTCAACGAATTAAGGTCAGGGACATGAGTTGGTTAGCTTGCAATTAACACTTTTTAGGAAAGCTGTGGGAGAAAAGCAGCTCGGGAAGAGATTAGTTTGTCTAAGCAGTCATCTCTCTGCCCTGCAAGGGGACAAAAACAGGGTACAGGACACTCTTATGAGATAACTTTGTATGAATGAGACCGCAGCAACCAGTCATCTTTTCTCTCTCCCTCTCCAGGGGTGGGTTTCAGGCGGTTCGCGACGGTCCCTGCGAACCGGTTGGTCGGCGAACCCGGAAGTAAGTAACTTCCGGGAACGCCGAAGGATCCACCCGCCCGCCCGCATTTCGTACCCAGTTTTGACGAGTTCTGCGCTTCCACGCATGCGCAGGATGCATACAGCGCCTGCGCAATCCTCCAGGAGCAGCTGGAGCATCGCACAGACGCTAGTACGCATGCGTGCACTGCACGCGTGCACGAGGACGCCACCGGCCCCGTTCCAACCAAACCAGTTGGAACGGGGCGAGAAACCCAACCCTGTCCCCCTCCCTCCCTCTCTCTCTCCTTCTGCCTCTCCCTCTCTCTCTCTCCCTCCCTCACCCCCCTCTCTCAGACATGTGAGACATGTATTCATATAGTGACCATTTTGCTTAATGACCAAATTGTTAGAACAGATTAAGGACACTAAATGAGGAGAGGGTGTAGTTGTTCAGTGAGCCAAGAACAATCTCATTGGCTTAATGAAGAAAGAGGCATGATACAGAGAAATTGACACATACTATAAAAGAGGGCTTTTTTGAGAGTCAGACTGATGTAGGTAAGTAATTTTCCAGCTTTGGATTTGGCTTCCTGATTGTCTGCTCTTTTTGATTCTGTAACTGTTCTGTGAACTAGTACAAGACTCTACTCAGGTCTGATGCCTTGGGTTAGATTTGCCTGCATGGGAATTCTGGCCTCATCTTCCTACACTGGCTTTTCCTCTTATGTCACCATAAAAACTTCTTTTGCGTTTGTTAACACTGGACCCACTCTAACCATCCTATCTGTCTTTCCAACAAACTCCCAGCTCCCTTTTAATCTTTTCTCTCTCCTCTCCTGTCCTCCCCTCCCCTCAATTTTTTTTCAATTCAATTTTAATGGATTTGTATGCTGCCCAATCCCGGGGGACTCCGGGCGGCTTACATAAAAACAGTTTAAAAAAAGAAGATGTTAAAAATTTAAAATATAAGACAGAACAAATTAAAACAAAACGCAACATGCACTCGATCTTAGTGGGGCTGAAGATCAATCAAGATCAGCAGCCCCAGGCCTGCCGGAACAGCCAGGTCTTAATAGACTTTCGGAAGGCCGAGAGAGTGGGGAGGGTCCGGATTTCAGGGAGTAGATCGTAGATCCTCCTCTCCTTTCTTCCTTTCTTTTTTCAACCTCTTCTAAATATAGCAATGGACTCTTATCTACCTATCACAATGATTTCCTATGTTGCTTCTGAGCCCTGTGAAAAAATATTTAAAAATTATTAAAATTAAAATAAATCCCATTTTTTTGCTCAGCATAGTACTTAGTAGGTAGGCACCAAGAGAGATGTTTGGTCTCATCGCAGTGTATATCATGGAACTCCCATTTAGTTTTCTTATTGCTGTTTCATTGTGCATCAAGGGCACGGTTTGATTTCATACTTCCTCAGTGGCAGCATCAGTTTGCAATTAAGCCAATGTTAAGGTGTGAAAGACCAGGTTCACAAGTGACAATCCAATGAAGCTGATTTATTGCTAAAAGCCTTTTGACCGAAATCTTATTTAACAATTGGCACCTGGTTAGAGTTAGATAAGAGTTACAGGCACTTAA